TGTTATATTCACTTTGTTTATTTTTAATAAATTTAATTTGACTTTTTTAACTTTTTATATATAAATTTTAGATAAAAATTAACAATTATATTAATAATGATTAAATTTTTTTTTCTCATCTGAAATTTATATCTAAAAAAAATTAAAAAGTTAAATTAGGTTTACAAAAAAAAAATAGAGGGAGTAATTATCTTTTTAAAATAAATATAAAATAAAAATAAGTGCATTAAATGATATCTTAAAAAGGAAAGATGGAAAACTAAAAAGAAAAAGTAGAAAACTAAATTTGAACATTTTAAATTAAAATTTAGGTCTACTAAAGTTGAGCGAAATGGGTAAAATGTTAAATGCTAGTATTTCAATTTTATCCTTATTTCAAAAAATAAATAAATAAAAAATATTTTTTAGTTCAGTTGTTATTTATATAATATATGTTAAATTTTTAGTTAAAATTTATACTTAAAAAGCTAAAAAGTAACAGTAAATTTATTAAAAAAACAAACGAAATATTATTTTATGAGAACTTTTAAATTGAAAAATATATATTATTCATATTTGGAGGGACTTCTCATTAGGGGTGTTCATATTCGATTTAATCCGATTGATCTAAACTAAACGGATCCAATCCAATAAAAAACTGAACCAAATTGGTACAAAATTGGGTTGGTTTGGAATATAAAATTTTAAAACCGATATAATTGATTTGGTTTGTAATTTTATCTTCAAAATTAGGATTTGAGGATAATTTATATTTTACTTATATTACCCTTTAAAAACTAAAAATAATGAGAATTTTTTTATAGGATAGATAATTAAGATTAAGAGATAATTATAAATTTAAAATAAGAATAAAATATTTCTCTTCCTCAAAAAATGAAGAAATAACTACTCTCTTTGTCTAATTTAGTTGTTTCACACTTTCACTTTCTAAATCAGGGCCAAATAATTTAATTGTCCTATTTTTCATTTTAATACTCCATTTGTTCAATTCTAATATGTCTATTATATATATTATTATATATATATCCAATAAAAT